GCTCGACAAATGTACCGGCTGAGACCTCCCCTGCAGCACCGAGACGCCCGAGCCGACAGACAACGGCCTTTCGACGCCCGCGAGAATCGGTATTGGTGTCGGTGTCGGCGTTGGATCAGCCGTCCTCCTCGCCCTGCTTGCCCTCTTCTTCTTCACCAGACGGAGACGTCAACGACATGAGGCCCAGGCCAACGCGTCGGCCAAGGGCGATCGCCCTGACAGCCTGATGCCTCCGTCCGAGGCACCTCAGACACCGACGACGGCCGTGTCCGAAATAGATTCACGGGCAGCAACGCCGTGGGCCCTGCGAACTGAGCTCGACGGGAAGAGCCTTGCCGCTGAGATGGATGTGCCGCCGGTGCCGCCGGTGCCGAGTCAGCTGGGGGAGAAGAAGGAGAAAAAGTCGGATGAGCCTGTGTTTGAGCTACCTGCTTGAACGGGACTGTATACTATGGGGTGAATGGCGCGTCTATCTTTGAATTGTGATACCACTGTGGGGACGAGGGAAAACGTCTATCTTGAGGGGGATTGGCGGCTTGTAGGTGCTGTATTAATGCTGATCCTCACGCGTGTCCTTTTGGAATTCTTCGTGTGCGGATGTGACGGACGTACCTGTAATGTCGAAGAGCTTTATCACAGGCTCAACTAATGAGCAGCTCGAGCAATAGGGAAGGCTTCAGGCCCATTACGTCTCTCGCGTTCATTCTTCTTGTTCTTTTTTTTACCTGAAATAAAAATATCGAATAGGCAACCTCAAATGAGTACGAGGTTACTCACTTCCCCTTCACCAAAGCCCGGGAATCTGCTCGTCGACGAATATATTAAAGGTAAGGACTGACTCAAGGAAAACAGGAACGTTCCCAATCTAGTAAATCTTCGCACTCCATGCGCCCTCATTACCGAGTGATTCCCCCTTCGCTTTTAGACTACCTCCCATCACTCACGCCACACACATTACGAGCCACCCTCAGACATTGTTGTCGCTGGCACAGCAAACCATGTCGTCTCTCAAAAAATGGATACGTCTTTGAAGAACGGATCGCCTCGCCCGAACGGACTCGAACGCGTCGCGCCTCACCACTCGCAGGAGTTGCAGTAGTCATAGTGGTGATACTTGTACTTGCAGTCGTCGCACTCGGGGGGGGCACTTGTCGTGGATGCCTGTGGACGTCGTGACCGTGGTGGCCCTGGCGGGGGTTGTCGTAGTAGTGATGGAGCACCTTCTTTGA